AGACGTAGGGGGGAAATAATAAACTTTATGCATGTTTTTTCTTTTCAATTCAGCTTACAGTTAAAAACTTATGATCTGTACGGCTAATTCTTGGCAATTTCAGTAGAAGAATTTCTAAGTTTATCACTCTAAAAACATTCATTCTTGTCATTTCATCTCTTTGGTAATGGACAGTTTTATATTTTTCTCTTTACCAAATTTAGGTGGACTCAAATATTTATTTGACCTGCTAGTTCTTCAGAAGTAAAATCCAAAGGACTTTTAGTTGCTCCTTTTATAATTCTTCCCTCCCTCCCGCCTCCTTTTCTTCCTTCATCTCTGCCAAGAGATTACCTGCAAGGAAAACAAAAAGGTGACTGAGATGTTAAAACTACTTGAATAGTTTAGCATGGAGGAATTTTGTCTTAAGGAAACTGTGTTACAATAACCTCAATCCAACTTGTCTAAATTCGTGTCACCTGAACTTTTAGAGTGCCCCAGCTGAACAAAGTTTACTTACTCTGTCTGCAAATGCCATTTCCTTTTCAGTTTAACTTGGGGGACACAAAAATTGGGGATTAAATCTGGCATTCAGAATAATGAAGAGCGGCACTAGAAGCAGTTGATTATTAATTAGTAAAAGATCAATAATAACTCATAAAAGACATGGAAAATACTCTTTATATACTATTGTGCAGTAGGAAAATATTTCAATACCTGGCAATGAATATTAAGACTAAATACAGAAAGGGATTTCCTCAGGGTTTATTTGTTTAAAAAACAAATTTACACTTGATTTAGCTTATAAAATACTTTGACAGTTAGTATCTCATTTGGGGGAGGTTTTATAGTCCAATTTTACAGAAATTACACACACAGCTCTGATGAGTTTTCCTTAACAGGACACAGACCCAGACCAATCTTTTTAACATGTTTAATATCATCAATCTTTCAGCGTTATCAGGCCAGTACTGATCAAGATAGCTGCCCTGTATATGTGAACAAAAAAAATCACAAAGTACAGATCATGGTGATATTAAATGACTATTTCACATATGTGAGTATCGTCTCTCACTGGAGAATGTGACTCAACACAAACCCACCGCTGTGCAATAGGGAGTCCCACTGAAGACGCAGGGCCAAGGGAGAGCAGGCTGGTCCCTCCCAGCTTCATACGTGAAGACCGATCTTGTTTAAAGGTCTTTAAAAAACACAAGGAAAGAGCAGCATTGTGTTGAGACTGTCTGTGCTTCAAACCACTTAGCTAGCTACAAACCTAAAATATTTCCTCCAAAGTGTGTTTAAGTAAATCCAGTTGGGTTGTATTAAATGGATATCAAACCCTTTTGACAACTTATACAATGAAATGTAAAAACCAGAGGCTCCACATTAAAGATAAAAATGAACCATTTTTTTCCAGAATGTCTGCTAGATTCTCAAAAGCAATATATTAAATTTACAAACTATTACAATAGTGAGTCACTAACTACATTTAAATAATGAGAACAAATTAAACAAATTTAAATAACCTTTTGTTTTGGCACCACAAAGCAGGAACATAAAACGAATTTCCTTTTTACTATTCCTCAGCAAAATCATTCAAACACAAGAACAGAGAGGATTTCCAAAGATCTTTTAGTTTTTACTGACTCATGTTACTGCTTCCTCTGAGAACTGTCGTAAGCAGGCCAGACTGAAAAGGTATAATTAGAAGACCAATCAGGATTTATGTAAGAAATAGACAAAGAAAATTCAGGTAAAACCAGTAAATACATCAAACATGAAAAAGAAAAATCATAATTTGGAAGCTCTACCTTGCCTTGCTGCACATGATTTGTAATGAAATTTATTGTTGTGTATATTGTTTTCAGCTCTAATGACCTAAGTGAATTATGCAAATTAGCCTATATAATATCATTACAAGCTTATAAGCCACACTGCCTGTGAAAGTGAATAAAGAAATGATCAGGTGGAAATTACAAGTATAGGAAATGACTTTTTTATTTAATTATATTTCCACTAAAAATTCGATTCCATTTCTAGTTATATGTAACTCATTAAAATGATTAAGAAACATCACCTCAGCACATTTAAGTGCTGAAATTGCTTCCTATTCAGTAAATTCCCATTACCCTTGCCACTGCAAAGAGAACCACTGCTTAAGAATGTCTCTATAACAAACCGCAGTCTAAACTTTTTTGGAAAAACTTTTTTACCAATTAAAAAAAAAAAAAAAAAAAATTCTTGGGACTTATGTGTGGGAACATTTAAAGATTACCATAAAGACTAATAAAGCAGAAGCAGCAGCAGATGACCTCACTCTGCCACGCGTTTTTCAGACTAAGCAAGTTTTTTTAAAAAGTATGCGGAGTTCATATTTGAGATTCAAGTTACTATCATTGCCACATTGTCCTAGTTCATAGCCTTATTAAGAGATTCCATCTGAAATGCAAACGAAAATCTATATAAATTACAAAAGAAGAGAAGACTGTAAGTAATAAAAGTGCAAAAGATATGGTGCCTCAACCGAAAGCCCTTTTTTAACATTCCTCAGTAGAGTCAGAGAGGAGATGTTAAGGCAGGTCTTATATTTCCTCTTTAGAGACGTGTGGGTTTTAACAATCTTAGGAGGCATATTTATCTCTAAAAGAGCTTTTATGTGGAGCCCCCAAGGACTTGAACTTAGCATTGTTTGGAGGCTGTGGAATGCCAATGACGTGGAGTGATGATCAGCATCCTGTGCTCCTGGAGCTGGAATCACCCATCCTGCAGGCCGACCACCTCCGCAGGCTCCCCTTATGTTACATACACTGAAGGCCAAGGGTTCTTCCCTGGCCTTCTCTTTTTGCATCATGGTGCTCTGGAAATGGCCATTTCATTCCAGAAGGAAACATTGCCTCTGCCAGGAGACTGCTGGACAGGGCTTTATATCTGTATGCATAATTCAGCATTAGTTGTAGGTGCTAAGCCAAGTGCTGAAAAGCTATACAGTATTTGACTCAAAAAACATACTGCTTTGGTGGAGAAACTGGAACTCATGTACATTACTGGTGGACATGTAAAATGGTGCATCTGCTGTGGAAAAGTCTGGTGGTTCTTCAAAAAGTTAAGCATAGAATTACCATAGGAGCCATCGATTCCACTCCGAGGTATATACCCAGAACTGAAAATAGATGTTCACGTAAAAATTTGTACACAAATGTTCATAGCATCATTAATCCTAACAGACAGAAAGTGGAAATAACCCAGATGTCCATCAACTGATGAATGGATAAACGATGGAATATTATTTGACCATAAAAAGGAATGAAGTACTCATACACATACAACATGGACCTTTCAAACATGCTAAGGAAAGACGTCAAGCACAAAAGGCTGTATATCATATGACTATTATTAATATGAAATGCCCAGAACAGGCAAACCAATAAGGGAATCAGCCCATTAGTAGCAGAGCTGAGACTTACTAGCTCCACGGCATTTACTTTTCACTGGGGGCGATTCGACCTCTCCAGGAGCAAATACATCCCACTTTGTAGATGAGAAACGAATTTCAGGAAGTTAAGGAATAAACCCCAGATCACTCAACTGGTGAGTGACGAAACGGGTAGTGATTATCACAAAGGTACAAGGCACGTTACCAAGAGGGAAAGATGGGGCCAGAATCAAGAACAGGCACGGAGGAAAGGAAGGGACTGCTGGCAAAATTCTTCTTCTTCATCTGGTTGGTCCTGACATAGGTGTTTGTTTAAAAATTATTCCCTAAGCTGTAGGTATTTTAGGTGCTTCCCATAGGCATGATATATTACAAATTATTTTTTAAGATAAGTTTGTGCCTCGCAGACCGCACTGGATAGTTTCTACAGGAGGAGAGATAAACTCAGAAGACCTTGAAAAGCTTGTCAAAAAAAAAAAAAAAAAAAAAGGCTCAGAGAAAATTTATCTCCCTAACCCAGAATTGAAAGTCTAGGGATCATTATGAGAATTTTGGAGGTGGGGGAGGGAAGAAGTTGTGAAAGTGGGCAGAAGTTCTTAATTTATTAGAGGTAAAACACAGCTATCAATTCAAATTTCAAATCCAAATATATCAGTAATTGAAATGAATGTAAATGAACTGAATGCCTTTTTATTACCTACCGTCAGAGATCACATATTCTTTTAGTTATTTTATTGGTCACACCACGTAAGTCAGCTGTGTTTCAATGAGGAAGGATACTAAAGAAGGACTGTAAGATTAGTCAATATATTAATGACGAAAAGGATGACCTTTAAAAAAAAAACAAACTTCGGAAATTTTAATTTAGGAAGGAGGTTGAGTTAAAGACATGGGAAGAGGGTGGGACTCAGCTATTAAGACGAAAGATGACAAAAGGTTTTAGCTGGTCTCAGGTATAATAGAGGTGAACGGTCAGGACCACACGTGCAACGACATAAGTGCACAATTATGTCCTGATGCAGGGAGGCACTGTCCTCCCACTGTGCCCTACTTTCTGTGGTAAGTCCATTAAGTGGAATACTGGGGCCGTTTCTGAGCACTGAACAGTAATTACATTTTTTATGCAGCTCTAGAGGGAACACCAAGGACTTGCTGAAATTATGGCATCATTTCGCTTAACACTGAGGGGAAAGTATGTACTTGCATTATCTGTATATGGGGTCAACAGAAGATTTATTAATCCCTTCTAAATTTCTAGTTCCCAGGATACAATCTGCTGTCTGTTTAGAAAGGAGCCAACCAAGCTTTTTAGAACTGTGATTAACAAACTCTGCATGAGCAGAATCCCCCACGAGGAAACTAATGGGGCTGTAAGATGCTAGTTGTGCCTTTACTCGGCGGCTGCTCAGTTCCTCTGGCTTATTATGTGATGATTTTTAGATGCGTCTAACAGGTAATGATTCTGGGATGACTTGAGCTCCAGGAGGTAGGGATACTCCTGTATTTCCTACAAATATCTGTGTGTAATGTTTACCACGCTAGAGAGCCTGTATCTTTAAGACACACTAAATACAACTACCACGGATCCAAGATTAAGACTTCATATTTTATTTTTTAATAAGTATTTTCAAAATTTCCTACATGAGTTTTCACCTACACATAAGCAAACCTTAAAATAATGTGATGAAGTCAGTGATGAAAGAGACGAAGATTTGTATGAGCGAGGATTATTCCCAGTTCATTGCAAGCCTCGGTCACAATGGCATCAGCAGCAGAACCGGAAGGAGCAGCAATGTACGCCACGCCAC